CTCATAATTCCAACTATAATTTATAATCCTCGGTAAGGCATCTTTAAGTTTCTGGGCTTTTAATTAAATCCTCTGAATGCTGGGGCGACATTTTTCCGGAAAATGGGGAAATCCAATGAGAAGTGGGTGTAACTCAGCAGAAATATGTTCGAAAAATTGCCGAGGCGTGTTCGCCAGCGCCAAGTGGGAAAAAAATGGGGGAGCGGAGTGGAGTGCACTGGACATTGGATGAGAAGGGGGCGTGGGGCGGATGAGTGCAGTGAGTGGGCGTGGCATGTGCAGACACACATTTCCGCCCCATGCAGGGCCACATCCGTCCGCCATAATTAAGTTTTACCAGCCGGGGAGCAAACACGCCGGTGGAAAGGACACTCGACCACAGACCAGAGAACGCGAACCCGAACCCGAATCGCCGCTCCCTGCTGCACTTTAATTGATTTCCAAGTTGGTCACGTTATCAGCTTTTGGATGTTTGCAGCCATATTCGGAGCAGAGGGTCCTCCCCATTGGCTTTATTCCTTTTGTTTTGCGTAATACCGCTGACCCCTGACCCCGCGCCCTGTTTATACTCGCGCGCGTCCTTTGATCGCGCTCTGTGCAGAGCAAACAATGAACGGGCTTTTGATTAATTCTCGGTTCGGTTAGCTCAGCGGTGCTGACATCAGCAGACTACCGACGCGTGAGCTCACACTGTGATAGAAAGTTTACTAACAACACATATAATTTACTAAAAATATAACATTGAAACATACTAAATAGGACTACAAATAATTTTACATGATAAGCTCCAAAAGATTAAATAAATAAAATATTTTTAAATTACAATTAATCAAAACCTTGCGGATGAAAAGCTGATGCGAACTCCTTTTTAAGTGTGCAAATTGTTTTCGAGTGAAAAAACAGTAAGCAGCAGAAGAAAATCCACTAGCCGCAAAAATTATTAATTATAGCTCCGAAGGGGTCCAAGCTTATCGTAATCGGCATGTAAACAGCAAGTAATGAGTGGAGCAGTGAGGAAAATCACAGACTTTGTGGCTGAGAAAATGCAGAAAAAGGGTCGCTCACCCTTTTAAATTCCACGTTAAGTGGGTAGTCCGCAACAAAAATCAATTAAAATAAAGTGCTCCCGGCTGTTGGTCATACACAGAGCATATGTCTATATAATAAACTGTATGTGAACGCTTAATATGCCGAACACAAAGTCCGGGCAGTGAGACATCAATATTTCATGCCCCGCTGCGACAGAGCAGCGACATTATCGAAAGAGCTTGGAAAAACCGCCCAAAAGATAGTCACTGCAATAAGGCAGGGAAAGAAGCGAAAAATGAGCAAAGCGCCAGCTAAAAGGGAAAATGGAAAATGGAAAAGGACAAATGAAAATGGGCAAAAGGGAAAATAAAAGGATGAAATGTCCGACACTCGGCGGCGACATCGAAATCGACAAAGACATCGAGGTCCGACGCCGCTTGGCATTCATTCATTGTGTGGTCGAGAGGCATGATATATATATCTCTCTATATATATATATATATATATATGTCCGATTCACCATTGATAAAGTCAGGAACAGCAGCGGGAAACAGAAGCCAGGACCCTGAACCAACGTTGAATTATTGGCCAGCATTTGGTCTGGCAGTTTTTCATTTCGCTTTTCATTTTATTGCAAGGCGAATGGCGAATGCGTCGTCAATGTGTGGTTATGAATTATTGATTGGGTGATAGTCCTGCCTGACAGCCGGTCTACTTAGCAAATCGCATGCCGAAGATGAATATTCCGTCTAATGAAGGCCATTGATTGGATGGCTTAAAGTGCGCAGCAATCACAATCACAAGCACCGAAAGAAACACAATATAATATTATGAGTTTTTAAAGGCTCCCTAGAAATGGTGACCATTGTTATACTTTTAATTCTATATACTACAACCTTTAAACCTTTGGGCAAAATATATTGCACAAAGTACGTAATTAATACTAGAATTTTCCAGTATTTTTTAAAAGTACGCAAACATTTAAATCTTATAAGAATATATATAGTGTTTTTTTTAAAAGTTTGCATTTCACAATTATTATTTTTAAATATCATGAAAGTAGCTTGTTATTTAAAAATTTCTAAAAACCTATTTTTAGTTTGGTTGATGAATGTGATTAAGTATGCAAAAATGTGTATATGATTCCAGATTTTCCGTTTATTTCTTCATTGTACTCAGACATCTAAAGCTACAAAAGTATGTGCCACTATCTAAAATTTCTCCAGCAAAAGTTGCCTTTTTCACAGAGCCCACAACTTTAACGAAGAGTGTTGGTGGCCCCTCGCTGCCCAATCAGTTTCATAAACTGAACTGGCATATTTCATTCGACTCAGTGAGGCTCCGTCGAATAAATTCCGACCCCGTCTATTCATATTTTATGAGTGCGAATGGAGCAGTGTAGCCAGCCAGCCATAATACTAACGAATATACGGGTCCCCGGCATCCGTAATTTCACTCGAATTGATTCGAAGCTGGTAAAACATGCTCCTGCTCCTTTTCAACAGGCCCTTGGTTCCTTTAGAATTTCGCAACAAGCCGCAAATACATGGTAGTTACATCGTAGTACGAGTTGTACTTGTGGCCATGTTCGAGCAAACTTTGCTTAACTTCTGGCCCTTATAAAACGGAGAAGAGGCCAAACCGGGGCAAACAAACAAGGCTTGAATGTGCCTGTTTGTTTGCCCGAGTGTCTCGGAAAACTTTCACTGCGCGACAGGGACAGTGACCTCATATGACAATAATTCGACGCATTTGTGTCACATCCTCGTACACGCCTCCCTCCATTTTTCCCCGCGCCGCCGGAAAAGCGCAAACGTCGACAATTGAGAGGGGAACTGGAAAAGATAGGGACAGTTATCTTTCCTGCCTGACCCCCTGCCTTGGGCCTCGACAATTGCACCAGGCCATTGTTTGAGAACCCAGCATCTCGCACCACCCACTATGGGGATTCAACACCAGTCGTCATTTGCCACCCATGCCACCTCACGACCTCTCTCCTCTGTGAACGTGCTGCTACACTTCCGTTAGCAGTTAAGTGCGACATATTTGCCTGGCTAATTTCGCACACAGAGCGCCGCAGGACTTTCGGTTCAAAGTCCTGGACCTGGGCCGAAATTGCATACACCGAAAGTGATATCAAGATTAAAAATATTAAAGATTAATCTTTTTCAAAGTTTGTTGCACTATTAAATAGAATTTATATTTAAGAGTGGCAAATTTATACACTTATTATCGTAAAATCAATTCACCTTTTTATGGTCTTTGGCCAATTTGTTACTAACAATAAAATTTCAATATCACTGTCTTCTTTTATTTGTATATTAGTTTTTTATTTGCACTTTGGTAAGCAAAACAAATAAGTGTCATTATCAGATTCTTAAGTATACATATTTTTAAAATAATAAAAATCTTTTTAAGATTTTCACCTAAAACCAAAGTTTGTGCATAAAATACTAGTTGATCTGGGCTTATAAAAACCAAGCATCGCAGTGAAGAGCAAGCTAAACTTGCTCTGCCTAAAAGTGTTTGCCGTGAAACGTAGTTGAAAAACTACTCCAACTTCTGCCCACAGTTGTGTGTATAGTGAGTTCATGTCTCGCTATTTTTTGTGTAGTACGGGTGTGTGACATCATTCGCTTGTCTCAGTTTCGCAAATCCTGTCAGGATACCGCTCAGCAATCCTTTGCCCCGCTTTTCGCCAAGCACAACTCGTGTTTATGGCTTTTGCAGCTTTGTCTTTCGATAGACAAATAGGGCCCGCCTCCGTTTTTATGTTTGTCTATAAAAACTGCGTATGGCAAAATAAAAGCCAGGGGCGGGCCTCACTTAACTGCCATCCGGTTGTGGTTGTGGTTAAGAAGTCTTGTCTTGTCGTCGGCGCTGCTTTGAAATTCTCGTTGGAAAAGAAACGTTTTCGGCTTGGAATTGAAAGCGGTTTGGCAATCTTTTACTGTGAAATTCCGTTTGAAACCTCAACGTTGTTTCCGCTCAATTTTCCATGCAGTTGCTTTTATTTAGCTGGGCGAAATGAAGCAATTTTCTTTAATAGAAAATGCAAATCGAATGGAAAACTATAGTAGTTAAATGTTAACCCTAAGGCAATTTAAGTTTAACGAAGAAATTCCCTTTAAGATTTTTACAAAATTTGTATCTATTTGTAAGAGAGTTAAAATTAAAATTTAAAATATATATTATTTGTAAAATATACATAAGTCCAAACATAAATGGTAACCATAATCTTTCAGAGAAACCCAAATTTCTGGCCAGCAAAAATCGATTGGTAACAACTCCTAACAGGAAATTTAACCTTTAATGGAAGGCATGTACACATGAGCTATTCCCTGGTCTGCTAGTGATTACAATCTGGTGCTAGATGAGTGCACACGTGTGCCACATTGGCAAAGTCACCGATTCCCTGCTGGCCACTCCGATTGCCCAATAATAAAGCACCTAGTCCAGGACTCGAGGCCCCATTTGTCTGCGAATGGGTATATGTGTGGCAATACCCAAATCAATGCGTACATTAATCAACAGCTCGAGATTAATTAACTGCCCTGCTTCAGAGTGGAGTGCTCCTTTCTGGAGTGTTGTGAATGAATGTCAAACATAATGACACTCATACGCACTGTGGTGCGACAGTTGACACGGTGTATCGGATGCCCCCGCTCGTTTCCTTTCCCGCGTCCTTCGGGGAGGGCCTGCTTATAATTTTTTTACACAGCCAGAAAATGTTTTAATTAGGGAGTCTCCGAAATATGTAAAGGTCTAGAAAATCAACTTAAAACGCTATAAAATTAGACTACATTTTACATGTTTTTTCGTTTTTCATGGCGACAAAACTCTTAATAATTTTTATACGAAAAACTATATACATTTTATGTGATGATAAATCACACAATGACCCCGGACGCAACAATGTTTATATACAAATTATATTGTTAATACTGTATTTAACATACAATAATTATTATTAACTTCCTCGAACCTTAGCTAAACAATATTCTTTATCAAAAACCTCTGTTTATCTACCAAATAGCTCGAGTCAAAACTGATGACCGTTTCTAAACTCCTGAATTTCGAAATGTTTTTTTAAAGGGTCTTTTGTGGGTATTGTAGATTTGGTGGTATTTTTATGATCATAGCTTGTGATATTTTCTCCCTGTGCACGGCGACACCCCCCTTTTGGCGCTTAATGAAGCGTAAACGGTAATTGACAGCTCAAAGCAAAGCTCTGGAGCTGCAGGTGACCTAAAATATTCGACAGTTCGAGGGGCTTTGGAGGCGGATTCATTAGAAATTCGCAGTCAAGCGTGGCGGGCTGTGGCAGGATGTGTTTGGTTGCCAGGATGCTAGGATGGCAGTGCCGGTGCTCATATCATTCCATGCCAGTTAGCAAACACACAGAGCACAGAGAACAGAGCACACTTGTCTTGTCTGACTACAATGGATGCGAGTGGTGGAGCAGGTGGTTCGGGCATCAACAGTGTCGAAGGTGTCATAAATTGGGTTTGTCACCTGTACACCTGCACACACACACACACACACGAGCTCGTTTCTATTTCTAGTAGGGGAATGTCCTGTTTTAGCACACACTCTCTCTTTGCCTTTTTCGTTTTATATTTGGGTCGAGGGGGTTCTAAAAACCAGCATCTTTCCATCTCTGTTGCGCATTTCCCCAGACAAAAGCTTGGCGAGAAGAGAAAGCTTCGGCGTTCCTGAAGTTCCTGAAGCCAGGACCCAATGTTTCGGGAAGTGCGCAAGGTCAGTGCAAGCTGGGAAAGGTGAAAGTTGAATCTCTAGAATCTCTGCGATGGCTGCGATGAGTGCACCTGCAATCTGCAGCAAATGAGAGCAAAAGCTCTTTGATCCCCGATGCCTGGTGATAAGAAAGTTGAGAGCGAGTGAGCGGTGAGTGAGCTTTGGCAGGTCCTGCTGGCGAGGATATAAAAGGATGCTGGCTGCTGGCGCACTTTCAGTTGGATTCCGAGCGAGGCAGCAGCAGCAACAGCAGCAGCAGCACCACCAGCAGCGGCAGTGGTTGTGGTTAAGGCTTGAAAACCAGGAGAGAGTGCCACCGTACCACCGAAGGGAAATGGACACAGAGCTGGAAAAACTAGCTCAGCCTGGTGTGTGTGTTCAACCCGTCGTGACACAGTAGTAGTAGTGCCAGTGTGTGTGTGTGTGCGTGTGTGTGTGTGTGCAAAGAACAGAGGCTAGTGCGATGCAGGCCTAGAAGTGGACGAACCAGGACCAAGACCAACGGAAAGCTGGAACGGAACCACTCTGATTGACCAGGAGCCACCGGGAACAGCCGTCGCACTGGCGTCGTTTTGCGAGCGCGGCTTGATGCCCGATTCGATGATGGACATGGAGCATCGGGACCATCAGCTGCACCGCCAGCAGCAGCAGCAGCAGCAATCGCACCGCATCACGGCCAGTACCAGCACGTTTGCACCGCCAGCACCGCCATCCACCAGTCAATCGGAGGATCGGGACCGCGACAGGGAGAGGGAGAGGGACAGGGACAGGGATCACCAACATCTGCATCAGCAGCAGCAGCAGCACCACCTTCATCAGTCCAACCATGTGGCCTCATCACCACTGCCCGTGAATGCCTCCATACAGTTGCATCAACAGCAGCAGCAGCAGCAGCAACCTCAAATCCGGGAACGCGAGCAGCAGCAGCAGCAGCTCCACCACCAACAGCAGCAATTGCAGCCGCAGATGCAGCAACAGCAACAACAGCAGCAAATGTTGCAGCAACCACAGCAGCAGATGCAGCAACAGCAGCAACTGCCCCACAGTCATCATGCCTTAATGCAGCAATCGCAACAGCAGCAGGCCATCCATCGAGCCGAGGCGCATAGAGGTGAGCTGATGTTGCTGGTGGCTCTCATATCGAGTATGCACTGTAGGCTGTCTGAACTTGTTGCTCGGTCTCCAAAAAAAAAAAAAATAAATAAATGGACCACCCCCAACCAATTCGCATTGCATACGCATTAAAAACACCAAAATTCTCGATTAGATACGCCACAAAACACAAATTCGGACTTTTTTGTACATTCAATACGTATTTTCTTTCTACCGAATGCGTTGTGTATCTGTGCTTAATCAGGTTAGGTGTACATAAATGTCTATATAGCGTTAACATCTCGAAGCCATTTCTCATATGCATGCTAATCGCTTCATTAGGTCCTCTAACGACAAAGCGGACTTCTACTCCCTGAAAAGTGCTCAGTCTCTCGCATTTGCCATGCAAAATTCAATCAGAAATTGCTTTAACTTGCGAGTATACCAGGACCGCCACAACACAGCAACACCATCAGCAAGCAACATGAGCAGCATGAGCAGCAGCAACAACAAGCTGACCTATTTCCCGAGCAAAGCTTTTTGCCAGGGGCTGCCGCTCTGACGTATGCGTTGACGTGGGGGTGTAGGGGATGGAGGGGGTTGGAGGGGGTGGTTGGCTGTGGGTATACGAGTGGGTTGAGTGGGTAGCAGCTGGACAGCCGTTGGCTGGTCATTAAAAAATTATGACCACACATTGTTCTCCCAGATTGTACATTAAGGTAAATTTAGCCCTTTTTTTTTGTTTTCTTGTACCACACAAATGGAATAACAGAAACTAAACAGCCAGCAGCCAAAAAAGAGGCCAAGCCGTGCTCAAATAATAATATTAGTGATCGTAAGCCTAACAGATAACTAAAGTGACAGTGCTATAAAAAAGAAACATTTCATAGTTTATTAGTGCAAAAGGTTTTTTTTTTTTAAATATTTACTGTCTTTATAAGAAATTAAGTTATGCTTAATTTAAACCTTCTCGATACCATTATCTCTATTTCAAATATCCGTGTTTTTGTGTATCCTGCTTATCATGATCTAATTGTTAAGAAACATTTCTAAAGCTGAACAAAATGTATTTCACTCTGCGTACCTTTCATTAAAAAATCATTACCTAATTGGATAATACTTCCATTTTGTTCGTGATACCATTATCTCAAATTGGGGCATCCCAGATTTTATGTATCTACAAAATCATGACCCAATTGTTTGGAAACATTTCTAAAATTGTTTGTGATACCATTACCTCAAATTGGGACAAAGTTTAGTATAAATATTCCTGAACCCAAAAGCCCATGACCTAATTGTTTTTGAGTACTGTAAACCCATCCACACATTTTTTTATAAAGTGCAATGATGTTAATGATGTTTTCCTTAAGTCAAGACATCATTTTTTCGAAATCTACTATCACCAAAAGGATACTTATATTAAGTGTGTGTGTGTGAGTGAATAAAACCCACTTAAAACCAGGCTTAAGGTGATGCAATTAGGGTCAGGAACCCATTCATCTAATTACAATTTCAGCAGCTACTTTTTCAAAGGCTCTTCCTCCATCGTTTTATCATTTTTATAGAAGCAATTTAGCTATAAATCTATTAGGTCTGCGGTCACCAGCCTCAGGCGTTACACACAAATCCAAAAAGCCTTTCATCTCGGCGCCAAACTCTCGGATTGCGCCTGGCACATTCAAATCGCAATTATTCTGAAATCAATTTCAATAAAAGTTTACTGCGGTGGGCCAGGAGTTTGGAGGTGCGAGATGGAGGAGACCAGAATGTTTGGCAGCTTGTTGGCTTAGCCAGGCTCTAGGATTCGCCCATCAAAAAGTTTTCCTTTTCCCAGTGTCGCTTTTCATGTTTTGTCTGTGTGAGTGAGTGTGTGTGTGTGTGTACTGGAGTGAGTGGGTGGGTAAGAGAGCTCGTTAAAAACACTTTGCTGACGTCGCCGTTGCTGGGTGTTGGCATTGTGGCAACTTTTCAATGAACTGTAATTGAAACTGAAATGCAAACTGTGCTGTGCCGCTAATTGCCAGCAGCTGCTGCTGAACTGCAGTCTGCTAACTGGAAACTTAAAACGGGGAAACCAAAAAACCAAAAAACCAGAAGGCAAACAAACTGCAAGAGCAGCGCGTAAACAGCATTTAAATGTGTGGCATGAATAATTTATGATTTTTCTTCGTTTTGTAGTTAGTTGGTTTTTCAGTTTCGTAGTTTGTCGTTCGAGCATGCTATTAACCCAAAAGAAACCACAGCAACCAAAAAATAAAAAAAACATATACTGCATGGCATGGAGCAGCTAAGTAGATCCCCGGATCGCAGAGCACTCAAAACAGATGAACCAGCTCCCAGAAAATCAACAAAAAAAACAAAAAAAAAAAATACAAGCACACCCATTGGCTAGCTGCTGATCGAGCCGAAAAGCATTCCCCCCGATTAATTTCTCTTGTTGTTCGATTTATCGTATTCTTGCAGATACACAAGCAAAACATTCACATGGATTTCTCTATTGTAAGTCGCACCAATTTGGACAATGCCCAAGAAAAAAACAGAAAAAGATCCCCACATCCCACAGCCAAAATCAAACAGAAAACGAAACACACAAACAGACACACGAAGGCTACTTTTTAACCTGTTAACATAACTATACTCTACTTTCTATGTGTAACTCTCTCTAACTATAAAGTACTATCTATGAGTATTTACTGAGATATATGTTTCCTTTTTTAATGTATGCACACTCCTTGTTTGCCTGTATTTCGATATCCGTGTATCCGCCTCTTTTTTCTCCGGTGAGCGCACCTAAGTATGCTACAGTATTTTTTCAAGCTCCCCAAGGGAACAACATTTCGACTTTTACGAGGCGACGAGGGCCCCATCGAAATTATGGCGCGTCTCAAGTATCAATAAGCAAAATGGGCGACTTGTTGCCCCCTTTTACACGAAATCTTGCACAAACTTCAATTTTCGGCTAAACTTTAAGTGTAATGCGAGTACTCCTCCGTAATGAAGAATGCCCTCTTTTTTCTGCTCAGTACTTTTTTCCGACATTCTGTCTGCGATTTTTGTATGCGCCATGCGGAGGTCTTTCGTTTAAGGATTTTTTCGTATTATTCTTGTTTTTTTTTTTCGCTGGTGCTCAGCGCATTATTCATGTAACAGTCTTGGCTTTCCACACCGAACAGAGACCAAGGAAAGCGAGGAAAATACAAAACGAATTTATAGCTTAAGCCTTAATTTGCAGCATTTGCTTTGAGCACTTGATTCCATCCTGCCATGCTACATGTATTTATAAGAATATTTCTCGTTTTCTCGCCACGTTCTCTCGCAGCGGACGAGGAAATCAGCGATAAGGCATCAACATGCGGAAAATTGCTTATATTTCTCTCCGTGGCTCTTGTGATAATGACGTTACCCTTCAGTCTCTTCGTCTGCTTCAAGGTAAGCATTTTATTTCATTAAACTTAATGCATTTTTATGGTCTTCTAATTACATTGTGAATAAAAAATTGAACGAGAGGTTTATTTTTCAAACTGAAAATATGCATATTTATTGAACTTTAAAAACAGCTGCTTGCAACCTAAAAAAACCTAAAATTTAAATAATTATTTTCATTTGACTTACGTCTAAAAATCAATACACATTTAAATTATGAACATTCAAGCTATAAAGACTTTAGGAGCCTATATTTGTTTGTTTTTATTACAAATGTAAAACATGTTAAGTGACTTATTAAAAATCATTACAAAAAACCTGCTATCTAAGCGGATAAACTATTTTTTTTTTAATTTTTAAGCCTCTTAGGGACTGGCAGATTAATTTACAAAGAAAATGGAAATGAATAAATGCAAGTTAGTAAGAAGGTTAGCATTTGCTTTTTCACAACCAGTACATAGTACATAATAAAGTGAATAACAAATGTGGTTTCCACTTTAAAAACTTAAGAATTCATTTAATTGATTATATATTACCTAAAATAAAAATCAATTAAAATAAGCTGTTAAGCCCAGGGTATTTTTCAGTTGTATTGTTGTTACTTCTCCAAGTTTCAATTTCGTTTCATGAACATTTCACTAACGTGCCCCATTTTGCAGGTGGTGCAGGAGTACGAGCGCGCGGTTATCTTCCGTTTGGGTCGTCTCATGCAGGGCGGTGCCAAGGGCCCAGGTGAGTACCGATTGCAGTTTCAGTCAGGTGGAGGCTAGCAGGTGAGGTGGTGAGCTGGCGATGAGGTGGGGTAACGAGTCTATGCAAATTTTAGTGCCGCTCACTGGCGACATGAATTCGTGTTAATTGCTGCACTTGCTCCAAATTAGCGACTCTGGGGCGGGCTTCTGCTCTGTCCGTGTGCTCTTTGCTTTTGTGCTCCCATTCCGAGGGAGCAAGAGATTACGCAAATCGGGGCGAACTTCTTCCACAGTCATGACACTAGTTTGCATAATTTCTGAAGCATTTGCTGGCTACTAATATTTTCTAGCCCAAGGGTAATCATCGAAAACAATGAGTCTTCTCGTCAGAGCTTTCAAGGTTTTCCTCTTGAAATCATAAATAATTTATATATAAATACTATTTATATATATATGTTATATATGATATACTTATATACTCTAGTTTTTGAAAATAATAAAATACACTTTTTTTAACATTTTTAATCCGTACCTCTGTACTTTGAATTGAAAAAGTAGTTATTAAGAGCCACAGAATATAAAAGTCGATTTTTTTAACAGAAAAAATTGAATATTATATTCTCACATCTAAGTAAATACTCCAAATCATATTTTAATTTTAGACGTGAAATCCCTGTTAGCCAGTGTATTTCTCGCAGTATCTCGTAACGAGCGTTTAAAGCATCTGAACCATAATTGCAGGTATCTTCTTCATCCTGCCCTGCATTGACTCCTATGCCCGCGTGGACTTGCGTACCCGCACCTACGATGTGCCACCGCAGGAGGTAAGTTCCGGTCACAGTTCCGGATGCGACCAAACATATAGTACATAAAAAAAGGCAGCTATAACCTGCACTGGCAGCCCACAAAGCTGCTGGCTTCTTCGATGTTGTTGTTGTTGTTGTTATTAACCTGAAGTGGAAATTTTTTTAGTTTATATACTTCAAAAAGTCCCCCGAAACCCGAACCCCTCACACACACACACACACACACATAAATGACAACTTAAAACGGTGCCAAGTAAAGCAGAAACCAATTAAACTTTTAGCTTTTGCCACAAGTTATTCCAGCCGACACGTTTGTTAACAAGAGATATATATGTATTATTTGGTTGCATTTTCTTGTTTTGTGTTTTGACCAAAAGTAACGTACACTCACAGCCAGACAAAAAGATACAAAGCTACAGATTTTGGCCCTGTTGGCGGAATCCGCAAGTGAAGCTCGGCTGAACACAGCCGGAATCTGAGTTGTTGTGTGGATTCTGCTGACAGGACACCCACACACATGGCCACAAAAAGCCAACCAAAACACCCAGGCACACACACTTACACTTACACACAGAGCTACAGATACAGATACACAAGGATACAGGACGCGCAACTGGAGCGTGAATTACGCATACGCAACGTTGTCTTTCTGTTTCTTCGTTCCTCTTCCTTTGACGTTTTTTACCCCTCGTTCTTGTTGTCGTCGCATGTCACGGTGTTTACTTGTGGTTTCTACTTTCTTGTGACTTTTCTTTTCGTTTTTTTTGATTTTCTTCCCGCTGCAGCCCATCTATATCTTCTCTTTCCCTATACACACTCTATATCTATATATTTCTATGTCTATGGCTATCTGTATCTATTAACGTATCTATCTTCATTCCCCAACCAGCTAAGAAACCCTCTTTCCAACCACTACAATATCAAAAGAACAACATCATCAACAGCAAAGTGAAAAGAAAACCATTTTGTGTTGGCCACATTTATAGTTTATTTAATTTTTTACCCACCCACATTTCGAGTGGCTGCAGTCCATTTTGTTTTTATATGAAAACGGAAAAAGTGGTTCTAACGCCCACAAAAGCAACCGCACACACACATTGAAACACACTTTTACATTGCTCTCTCTACTCTCTCTCTCTCTCTCTCTCTGTCGTTGTTGTTGTTGTTGTTGGTAGTCTTGTTGTATCCTATATATATAAATATATATTTTAAATACTTTGTATGGTACTTGTTGTCGTATTGAAGTTGAACAATGTTGCAGAATTTTTATTATTATTGCCATTGGTGTGCACTCAACCACACTGCCACAACTCACACATATACCGAAGAAAAACATACCTTACCCTCACGTTTACATATACCCACACACACACAAACACACCCACACAGATACAGGAGTCTCATCAAGATACGCGCTCCATTTATTTTTGGGAATTTTTCATCCTTTAGTTCGCTTACTTGATCTTTTATCGCAATCGAGCCCAGCCAGAAAACCCCACACATTTTTCATTTTTACCTGTGCATGTTTCATTGTTCGCCTGCCGGACTTAAATGAAATATGGAGAAGCGAAAAAAGCGAGGCTAAAGTGAATTTTAAGATAGAAATAATGGTAACTGGTTCGATTTCAATCCGCTGGTTTTCAACCATCTTGCTGACGTCACGTGGAGCAAACTCACTCACACTCATGTAGGAAAACTCACACACCAAAGCCAAAAATACCCCCCCTTTTTTAATATTTTTCCTTTTTTTTGCATATCCGCCAGCATTTTCGTGTTCCATTTGAGTTTGTTCGGTTTTTTGTGTAAATCGCATGAAGGCCACTTCAGCAACGATGAAAACAAGATGAAAAAAATGGAAAAAAAATCCCCAAAGCCATCTCGTTGACGTTGTTATTATTCACAAACATCACAAGACACACACAAGCCCAGATTTACATACACATTCACCCGAAAATCTCCCCTTTAAGTGCATACGAAATGCGATTTTTGCGCATCATTTCGTTTTACTTTCATTTTGGGTTTCTTTCCGTATTCATTTCGAATCGTATCGTAATCGTTATCGTAATCGTATTTAGTTTTTGATGTCTTTTGAATATTAACTTCAAGTTATTACAATTTGCATAGTTAAAGCTCTGATTGTCTCCTGCAATTAGGAATGAAAAAACCCAAACCAAAAATTATCAAAAAAAAAAAAAAAAAACTATCAAAAGAAAAGTGCCAGAATGCATATCAACAGAAAATTTTATCTCTCTCTATCTATCTGTCTGTCTCGCTCTCTGTGTTCAGCCGAGCACCACATATGCATATGCAAACGAATTGGTGGGCGGGGGCGGGGCAAAACCACAAAAGAACTGTACGCATTACGCATTGGCTATCTCTCTCACACGCACACATATATCCCAACTATCTGCCTCTCAGCCTCTTTCTCTGTCTCTCTAACTCTCTATCTCTGTCACTCACTGTCTGTCTCTATCTGTGTCTATTCAAAAAACGAAAAGTTAATGAAGAAATGAATGTCAAATGTTTGTTCACTGAACACAGGGTGCTGCACTCACACAAACGCAATTTCCAAGACCACCCATCCACACAAAGACAGCAAAAACACCAGAACACAGTAAAAAAAAAAACAAAAATAAAATGTAGGTCTTGCGTAGCTTAAAATGCAAGTGGAACCCCATTAAAAACTAAACAGAAACACTGTTATTTGCACACCCTCCCACCAAATTATAATCTGTCTATCTATATACCTCTCTCTCTAACTGTCTACATCTGTCTTGCTCACTCTCCTGCTAAGCAGCCACAAAACCAAACCGATCTCTCACTGTCTCTCTATATCTCTCTCTGTCTAATCTATCTATATGTCTCTGTCTCTATCTGACTGTCTATCTTACCCACGCTCTATACAAAACTATATTATATACTAACTCTCTCTGTCTCTATATATCTTCATAGATATTGATTTTGTTTTATGAGCTATGTAAGTTTTGTTTAGCAAAACCATATATAAGAATCGGAACCAAAACAAAAACTAACCAACTACCAAAGCAGAACCCTCAAACGAATCACAAAAAACTAAATAAATTACTATCGAAATGCACTTACTTGATAAACCCCCACTCTCCCCTGTTCGGTTGAGCGTTCAAATAATTTTTGAGAGCATGCTAAATATATATTTCCATAAGTGTCTATTTTAAAAAGCTTTCTAACTGTCTTAAACGAAAAAAACAAACAAACAATACCAAAACCGATACGCAATACCAGCCACAAATTTTTTATATTGTTGGAACAAACTGGAAAACAAACGGATAAAATCGAAATAAAAATAAACCACACAAAATATTACACACACACACACACAAAGCACACACAGACATCAAACATTCGCCGTATAGTTCACACACTCACATACAGCTTTTAGTTTCTGAACTACTGCCAACACCACCACCCCCCGAAAAAAAACCACCCCGTCCAAAAAAAAAAAAGAACAACAACAATTATGTATTGTACAACTAACTAATTAAATCGTTACCATTTGATTTGTTTGAGCACAAGCGAAAGGACGCACCCCTCCCAAAAAAAAGTATGCAAGAAAACACATTGTATATATGCGATATATATATCCGCACAGCGAATATACATATATACATAATGTCGAGTTCATCTATGTGTGTTTTGCGTGGTTTAAGCTGTTAAAAAGTGGTAACTGAACTCCTGCACGCATGCAGGCCAAAAAGCCAAAAGCCAGAGCATTAGAATGAACGCTAAAAGCGCCTCCCGCCCGCCAAAAACGTGCTAGAATCGTAACTGTAATAGTGATAATATAGTTGCCATATAGTATATCAAAAAAGCAAGTTAAAGCTAGAGCTAGTCCCAGCATCACAGCATCAGCATCAGTAGTTTCCCCATAGAATAGGCTATAGTTAGTAATATGATATTTAGTTCAGAGCTCTATTAAAATATATTAAAAGAAACAATGAAATAAAGGTTAACCAAACTATTTTTTTGTATAACTAACACTCTGACTCTTTCAAACTGTCGCTCTCTCTCTCTATCAATTTAGTCGTTAGCTAATAAAAACCTTTTCAGTTAAGTCCATTTCCAAAAAAAAAAACGTACCAAAAACGATTCAATTGCTGACAAATTCCCAGCATCAACTGTGCAAATTGTAATAAATAACCAAATTATGTTTTCTTGAAAACTCATTAGTTTAGGTGTTACAGTGTATAAACTATCGTTTGGAATTTTCATTTCACTTCATTTCATTCACTTCCGATTCCCCTTCTCTGTACCTCTATTTCTGTGCTCTTGTTTCCATGGTTTCATCATTGATTCCAGAACGTTTGCTCATTCAATTCTGTTTTGTAAAATGCAATGAACAAGCGACGTATCCCACCCACTCTGCCATCACTCCACGCCACCTGAACACAGATCACAGCCCACCGCCCAATCGCCACCCTTTGACTACCACCACCCCACTATTGTTCGAAATAATAAGCCATTGTTCGGGCCAAATTGATTTAGGGCTTTGTCCATGGAGCAGGCAGCAGGCTTTGGTTGCTCGAACAGCATTCATAATGAAGTGAATCGTGCATGATTAAGCCAAGGTATGCAGAGCGAAGGCCCTAAAAATATTTCAATACGATGCACACAATGCCCAATTGTATTTGCGGATTATTTGCTTAGACCATCAATTAATGGGAATTAAAGCCAACTTAAGTTTACTACCACAGTAGTATACTGAAACTTAAATTTATACAGATATTTTTAAAAATTAATCATACGCACTGTGGCCACTGATTTAAAACTAAAACGCACAACGAACTGAGTCACATAAAAAGTAAACAAAATAACTTTCGTAGAATAAAATAAAAAGCAGTCAAAAGAGAAAGATAAAATTAAACACACTTAACTACAGTTTATGACTGCAATATATCACACACACGCCCCGTGGACTGTTATAAAATATTTAGAATAGATAAAAAAACTCGCTTAGATACAAGAATGGGGCTCCCCTGCTTCAAAAGCAAAAATTCTTGAAACTTTTACAAAATAAGAGCCATTTATCCTCGCATAACAAATAGAATAAATCTTTCTAAATTCAAATGCATAAATGGATTTACAGAAATATTTGCGAACCCGCCTTAGAACTTCTCCAATTGCTGCTGCTCACATTTCAGCCGATTCACATGCAAAATGCTCGAGATTTGCCTTGCCGAAAGTTCGCCCACAAAAGGCAGGGCTTGGAAAACCCTCGAAACTGGCCGAGTGGAAACGACGACACTAAACAACATTGACACCACAGCTTCAGCTTTGTAGAGGCCGTAAAAAGCGGTCTAGACTACGCCGAACAATGTTTGGGCAGGTCATAAAACGTAAAGCGTTCCGTCGTTGAGGGAACAACTTTTTGCCACTGGTATATGTGTGTGTGTGTGTGTGTGTGTACACTTGTGTGTGCAAGTGCGGGGAGATAGTTGGGCATAAGTTAAGCCAACTTATTCGAGCAGGGCCTTTGGCCAAAACGAAAGGAAAGGAAAGAAAAATAAAAATTTGAGAATTCGATTTGGGCATCATGAACCGAGGCTGACACCATTGGGGCAGGGCCAGTAAACTTGCGGCCAGGATGGGCGAAATCCAACAACAGGGTACCCGAAAATGTGTACATAATCCGCCCACGACCCCACGTCACATCTCTATTCCCCCCCCCAACCCTTTTCTCTTCCACTTGATGGAAAGAAAGTCCTTTTCTACAAGCGATTTAATGCCTTCGGTTGTTGAGTTTGTTAAGCTTTTGAGTTTCCTACTTTTTCGGCTTATCATTTGCGTCGCTTACACGTGTACTCGTATAATTTGCCCACTCTATGTACCATAACTTATACACTGTAACCTCTTGAGCTCTTGAGTTTTGCTCCACGTAAGACCGTATCGCCATTGCGCAGATGATCGAATGCCACTCGAGCAAATAAAACTTGTGTCGGCAAATTGCTAGGATAACTCTCGCTGCCACAGGATAAAGTTCGCTGAATGCAAAACAATGCGAAAAGACTTTGGGACTTTGGGAGATGCACAGACACACACACAGCAGCACGTTCAAATGCAAATGCAAATGCATATGCACAGACCCACAAATGCAATAATCAAAATGAAAGCACTGCCTTTGTGTGAGTGTACGTTTTCGTGGTGTGTGTGTGTGTCTTTCGACATTGTCTGTCCTCCGGTCTGAGGCAAAAAGTTTTGCACTCCCTGCACTTAGTTCTATTAGAGAAAAGCGACCCTCTACCCAGCGGCCAAGAAGCCAGCGACGTTCAAGTCAAGTGCATTCGCATTATACTACTCTCTTGGCTATAAAGTGCACAGCAGCCGCCACAACTGGCCAGCCACTGATACAGATACAGATACAGATACAAAATGCCTAGCTTATCACCAAAGTACCACCCACCATGTGTATATATACTCGTATATGAATGGCGCATTTCAAAGCGCCTCTATCTGTATATACGCACATATTTTTTACGTCTGTGTATGTGTTTGTTGGCAACAATAACAAGCGAATAATAAAAATAACTAACAGACCAACTACAACAATAGCAGGAACAATAGAGAAAGCATAAAAGCAATGTCCCCAAACCAAAACAAAAAACAAAAAAAAAAAAAATACCCACTGCATCTTGTAGGTTCTCACAAAGGATAGCGTTACGGTTTCGGTGGATGCAGTGGTTTACTATCGGGTATCAAATGCAACGGTCTCTATCGCGAACGTGGAGAATGCTCACCATTCGACCAGGCTACTGGCACAGACTACTCTACGAAACACAATGGGAACTCGGCATTTGCATGAGATACTCAGCGAGCGTATGACGATTTCCGGCACAATGCAGGTGAGTTCAAACCAGTTGACAGTTGCCAGTTGGCCCGGCCCGCCGACAAACTCTCTCTCTCTCTTTCCCTCTCGAGAGACGCGACTCCGTTGAGCCGCTTCCTCTAATTAACTTAGTATACCGACACAAAGAAATATGCATAGTAGAAAATTAATAACAGCAATTTGCTTTCAAAATGGGGAAAAATTTTAAAGTAATATATTTGCACTTTTATGAAAATAGTGCTTGCATTTTTGTTCTTCATTTATAAGTGCCATTGTGATGAGATGCCCGGCGTTGGGCGCCATTTTCGCTTCCAAATGCCCTGTGTTGGGCGCCATTTCCATTACCGTTGGATTCAAGATAAAATCCTCCATTTATTACCCACGAAGATAAAATCCCTTTTTCCTTCCGCAAACTAACCAAGTTCTTACTAAAGCTTTTAGAAACTTTTATCTCCATTTGAGAAACCACATTTTTTCTTTGCGTGTACAAAGGAAACGAGAAAATCCACGCAGAATAAATGCAGCCTGGCAGCTACTTGCCAGTTCCGTCTGCTGACAGATGACATTTAAGTCTCTGTTTCTAATTATGCAGCCTTAAACCTTAAAGTTTGCGGCAAAACTCCGTCGGCGAAATATTAATTGCGAAATATAACAGCTGCCAAAGGCCAAGTCTGTCGGAATCCGTGCCTGGCATGAGAATAATCTCGGAGCCAAAGCGTTTTTTCATAGCTTCAAATTGAAAAGGCAACGGAGTGGCGGTAAAGTTTGCGAGCCGCATATCTTAGCAGATGCCAACTTAACCCAAATTCTATGGCAAGCCTGGCAACGGGTCGTTTTATTTATTTATTTTCCATGCCATATGAAAAATAGTTCAAAATCAGGCGAAAATCTCGAGCAGCATCAGCGTGCATGGTGCACGTCGAAGCGAACATGTGCAAAATGCCAAGTTGCCATGGCTCCTTTCACTCCCCTCGACGATGCCAAGTGCTGCATTTTTAGTTTTTCATTTCAAGGATGCTGCACGACCCACAAACAATGTGCGGCAAAATGCACTGGGCGAAAGGGGAGAGGGTGGGGAATAAAAGCAAAACCGAAACAAAACTGTTAACGACCTGAAAAACGCATGTAAACAAAAACTAATGTATTTTTACTGCTATTTCTCACACGTCTCATCCACCTCCAACCGACTATCCAACCAAACAACCAACCAACCATTCAACCAACCAACTACTCTACCAACCCAAACCACCTGGCTTCCAATCATAAACAGGTTCAACTCGACGAAGCCACCGATGCCTGGGGCATCAAAGTTGAACGTGTTGAAATGTAAGTAGCACAGCTTTTTTAACCCCTCACACACCCACACCCCCACACCCCCCACTTGCAGTGGCAACCTGGAAAAGTTTCTATGTCAAGCTATAAAAGTAATGTTATAAACGACGTCTCACCTCGCCTAGTCAAAGTTGATATGGTCTAAAGGATATTCTATGCAAGCTTTGCCTTTTAGTGCTACTTGGTACTCATGGGGTTGATTTGTTTAAAGGCAATGGATTAGTTTAAGTGTTTTCCAATTTTATAGCTTGGGGCTTTGCAAAAGGGAAATCGAGATTGTGTTCCACTTAAATTGTAAACGATTCAGAGTGTAAGCTGATTTGAAAAAGCAATTTCTAAAATTTACTAGTCCAGATAACTTTAATAGCCTGCGCTTCATTGACACACATTTTATATCAATATATTTGAACAGGATTTTGTCATTAAAGGATTATTATGTTTATCTACAAATTAATTAGATAAAATTATATGCCTTTTATAAATGGTTATTGAAATAAACCTATAAACAAATATCATATAAACATGTCTTTGAATATGCAATTTTTTATAAGCTGAATTGATACTTACATTTGTATAATCCATTTACAGTTTTTAAGCTTAACCACTATCAAAACTAGTTACTTTTAAGATAGCACCAACTTACAAACAAGTTTTTTCCACAAAAAGGATATAAGAATTCAGAATTATCTGACAAATCGAGCATTCCTCTGGAAGCCCAAAATGAACGTTTTGAAACACCAGATGCCCCCGCTATTTTCTGCTGACTAAAGTCCTTGGGGTGCCGAGTAATTCCCAGCTTATATAACATTTAAATTGGCTAGTTTGAGCCCCGGCAAACATTGTCATAGTCCCAGCAAGGCCACAGCACTCGAGCTGGTTGCTTATTTGTTTTATTTGTTTTACCATTTTTCCGGGCATTTATCACAATAACGCTGGCTGTTGGACGGGAGTGAGTGGGAGCTGCCTGCCCTTTGTCTGCTGTCACCGAGGCCCTGTTGTTATAATTTATTATTTGCCGCTTACGGGGGGCAAGTGGCTACTTTGTCAGCTTCAGTTTTCGCAGCGCCAAGTGTGTGACGTTGGCATGTCAAATGCTCATACATGGCCAACACAATATGGCGAAATGGAGGAGCCTGCCGGTGTGATGGCCATGTTCAAACAGCTGCAACAACTTGACGGCTGTGTAATTGTTGTTGTTGTGGTTATGCTGCGGCATGCTACCTTTATGCCAAAAACTCCCACTTCCCAATCCCGCCTACCAGCAAAAACTTGGCCGTTTCGACATGAAAACGGTTTCATTTTATGGCAGTTGTTGAATTTTTCATTATTGCATGTCACTTCTTACTTTTTCGCTGTCTGTGTCATGAAATTGATCAGCTGCCTTATAACATCCTCAAATGGCCAATAAAATGATGCGAGCAATTGTGATGGTGTTTATGAGTTATATAACTCGATTTAAATTTAGAGACAAATAGGGCGATATAAATATTGTTTGATAAATTTAACTTCACGGTTGGTTGGTCGTAAAAAATGTTTTCTAAGACCGCGGTTGAATTGAAGATGCCCCATTACGCTGAGCTGTGAGGCACATTAGCACGAAGCTCCACACTTCTGAGTTGATAGCTACCAATTTAATAGGGAAACTGGTCTTAAAGAAGCACTTGGAAAAAAACCTTTAGCTTCAATTTATTTACATATTTTATTGACATATTTTAAAAATTAAAAAAGCTAATGTTAAACTCCAAAAATATAAATAAGGCTCGGTTGGGATATATATTTTCAGAAAAGTGTTATTGTTTACTTTGGAAAAAATAACCAATAATAAATAATTGTATTGCATTATTTAAAAATTATCCATTTTATTTATACATTGACATGTTATGGGTGAAATAAATAAATTTGGGAGTAGAAAATCTAAACTTTTTAACATGTCAAAAATAAAAAAACAAAAAAAATTAAAAAAAAAAATAAAAATAAGAACAAAAAAAATAAATAAATAAAAAAAACCTGACAAAGAAGAGTTTCTATTCCGTAAAATGTCTTTAAAGCTTGCTTGAAGTTTGCCGTATAGGGATATAGTTTTATACTTTTCTTCCAAAATTCATGAGTTGAATTTTTCTGAGTGTGCGAAAGTTTGTGGTCTTAGCTTCGACTGAGGGCTATTTCCGCTATCTGCAAGTCACCCGGACTAATCTCATTTTCTCCATCCACCGAGCAGCAAGGACGTGCGTCTGCCCGTGCAACTGCAACGTGCCATGGCCGCCGAGGCAGAAGCCGCCCGAGAAGCCCGCGCCAAAGTCATTGCCGCCGAAGGAGAACAGAAGGCATCGAGAGCCCTTCGCGAGGCGTCTGAGGTGATTGGCGATTCGCCGGCAGCCCTCCAGCTGCGTTACCTGCAGGTGGGTGTTTTTTCAAGGGATTTCCTAGAGATTTATTACTGATTCTTAAACTTTAAATCCTTCAATTCGAATCAGACGCTCAACACCATATCCGCGGAGAAGAACTCGACGATTGTTTTCCCGCTGCCCATCGATTTAATAACGTATTTCCTGAAGACCAACGAGGCCTCAACGCAGAAGAACGCTCGAGCGGCAGTGGCAGCAATTGGCAATACACCGCCACCATTGCAGCTGGCACCGCAGCAGCAGCCATTCCAACAGCAGCAGCAGCAACAACAGTTCCTGCAGGATCCACAGCAGCAGCAGCAATACCAGCAGCAGCCGCAGCAGCAGCAACAACAGCTACAGCAGCAGCAACAACCGCCCCAGCAACAACAAGATCAGCATTATCAGCAGGGGCAGCAGATCTCATCAGCCATGTAAATCAGCTTAAGATCAGAAAAAAGATTCGGCCTGGTCGACTCGAAAATGCCCTGCACAATTTGAATAGAAACTGCTGGGGATAAGCTTAAAGATTGCATTTAATGATTCCCCAGGGATCTAACAACATCGACGTCTCTTCGTAATAAATGCTTACCGAATATCGATAAAATAAAAATTTGTAGCTGAACAGGCAAGTGTTTTTTAGTCGGCAATATTCCATTTCATGTTCTAGAAGTAGGTAACTCCATAAGACCTAAGAATATGTGCATAATGCATATTTTTGAGTTGCCAACTTGTGGAAAATGAGCTCAAAATAGGTATTTAATATCAGGAGAAAGAAATACATTTATTTTTCTGGGTTTGACAAAAAAGCAACCTTTAAGCAACACCCCTCAACAATATAGTGTCGATTATTTGTGCAGAGCATGATCAATTCAAAAACACAAGAACAAACAAACGGAAACAACGATTCAAGAGAATCAAAAAACTTAGTTCATAACACCGATAAGTGCGATTCGAATTCGTTAGCCGGCAGCAGATCCTTTGAAAAACTGAGGATCTGTGGTCAAATAGTTACGAAAATACAAACCTAGAATAGTTTCATACGAGGCGAAAGATAGAGTTTAATATTTGTAGCTTTACGACCAGAGGATGCAATTCTAAATATTAAATGTAGGACTTAGCGGTGCAATTCAAGATTACCACACAAAATTTAGATCAAATCAAATTACTTATTGTCAGCAAATACAAAATTCGAAATCCCCCCATAAAATCTGTACTCGCTTAGGTGAAAATTCTAAAACCAACCAGTTTTGAACGTCTCAAATTGTGAAATTTTAAATAGTCAAAAATGGTTGGTTTGGTTTTGTCTTTTCACACCACAAACTAAGATATCTGCAGATTATTGCTCTTTTTTTGTTGTATGGTTCTACCAAGGTCCGTTTTTTTAAGGATAGTTATTCAGAAAACTAGTATCTGGTTACTTTTGTAACCAGTTTTTGAAAGTATTTCAATAACAAAATATTAAACGATATTAAATTACACTATCCTTAATTAATTTTTGTTTATTATATTAAATTAGTTAAATATTCATACGAAAGCGTAACTTCGTATTTTTCTCGATGACATTCACTGCATTAAGAAAACGGGCCTTTGTCGAACAAAAATATATCTCATAGAACCGTTGACGAAGTCGTTTTGTAAATGTTTATTAGTAAGCTGTTTGACCTGTTAATTATGGACGATTCTAATGACTTATGCTGTATACTAGCTATGCAAATTAACGTTTAAGACATGATTCAGATTAGCCCGCATATACTAGAGTTAATGTTGTCCACAAACCAATTACAACTTTATAGGACTTTAATGACTCTAGATATGAACAGTTGTACTTATATGGTACACCCCATATTCCTACAACTAGTACAACTGTTAATCTGTTTCAACTGGAGTAAATCCGTGAAACTAGTCGATTTATTTGATAATTGTGGGTTTAGAAAGATGTTCAAAAGACTAGTATCGTCTTTTAAAAGATCACTAAACTCACATGCACAAATCAAATCTACTAGTCAGTAACGTTCGTAGGTCCAAAGTACGAATGCCAAACAATAAATAAGAGTAATACGAATTTATTGTACATACAATAAATAAGTAGGTACAGAACTGTTTTACCCATTGAACTTTGACACCAATTAATATTGGATATTCGTATAGGATAACACACCACACCACACACCACACACACAAAAACACAAGCAAAGGAAGTATATAGAAGTATTGTCTCTCTCTCACGAAGTAGCAAGTGGCTACTTAAATACGTCGACTTGTATGTCTAAATGTCAGTAGATGTCGAAGTATAACAAATAAAACTAAACTAAAGTGCATTTGCAACACAGAAACGTTTACTTTTTAGCGCACTTCATGGATTACAAAAAAAGAGTTATTGAATTAATTATATATACATATACAAGCATTACGAATTACATATTATGTACAATTTTGCCTTTGAAAAATTTTTAAACGGAAACGATTTCATTATTCACATACGATTAGATATATGTGTAAAGGAACAATAAAATTTCTTCAACTTTTTTGGTATCCAAAAGAGCAAAAACAAAAAGCAAAGCTGGACTTTTATTTATATCTTTAAAATCATGGATGATACTAAATACTGGTAAAAAAAAAGTATTACGTCCAAGTATTTCTTACTCAATTTAAATATATTATGATTTTTATCCATTGCCTTTTTACATGGTAATGGATGATACTTATACTGGTAAAAAAAGTACTAATCCAACTCATTTTAAATATTTTCAGATTTTTATTAATTGCAAGTTTTTGATATTTTTAACATGGTCTTTGTGCCAAAAACCATAAATACCTGTTCTTGTTTTAAGGTAAACAGAATTTATTTAAAATTACAATGCTGGTCCAAGATGATTCCCAAATTATTATCAAAGTCCCAAATAAATAAAACAACCAGTTCTTAGTTATTACATATTTTTCAATTTTATTAGTTATTTTCATTATTATTTGTATTATGCATTACACACCTAACCGACTTAACGGACACATTTCTATCATTTTACATCAGCTAAATTCAGTTTCCATTCATATTTTCTTGGTGAGTCTGCGTATTAAACCATTATCCGCAATACATGACAATTCTCAGTTGTTATTACTATAATTATTCATCCGACATTGCTATTCGTGTGTGTTTTTCAGGCGATAACCGATGACAGCGCATGCAACACGCCTACCCAGGCAAAAGGCTGAAACATTTTTTAAATCTTTCAATTTGATTGCCGCAGTTTGTATAAAAAATTTGTGAATTTTTTTGTTCTTGTTGTGGTTAATGCCTCGCGTGCCACTTGCGCTGCCAATGGCTGTTTTACTTTGTTTTTTTTAGCTGCCACAAAATCATTCATTATTAATTCGGTATTATATTATTCAATTTAATTTCTCGTTTATTTCTACATGTTATGTCAAGTTTATATACAAAAATTCATCAACTACGCTAAACAAATTCAGTTTTGCCTGTGAATTATAACAATATTTTAATTAATTATTTGCAGTGATTCCGTTGTGATTACGTTGAATGCCATTTCATACAATGATTGGTTGTTGTTGTTGTTGTTCTCGTTAGTTTTGTAAGCCTGGTTATCCTATAAACTGATCGATCTCTGTGTGTTTGTTTGTTTACGTGTGAAATGCTTTGAGTTGCCGTATAAATCTTCTTTACAAATACATATATCTCAATACGAAATGCTAAACTTTGGTTTTATGCTACAGAATGTGCACACAATGGCCAACACAATATATGCTATATGTACTATATCGATGAACGACAAACTAAAACTATAACAAAAATCAAATAAATTAAATAAAGTCTCCTCATCAATCGATGCGATGTTCGATTCATGTGTGTGTTGTGTGTATGTGGATCTGTTCGAGTCGGTCATCTAGAATCTAGAAGCTAATATAGGTGAGTGTTTTTGTGTGACAGATTGATTGATTGGTTGATACGTTGATCGGCTAGAATCTTTATCGTCTGATATTTTGCATTTGAAACCCTTGAGATAGCAGTTTATCCTTATGGCTCTTGTGTCGTCGGGCTATTGATTTGGGCTGCACACGCAAGGAACAGCAGGTCTGGAGAGGAACTAAATGCGGGCCAACGCTGCAGGTTGTACATCAATAGATATATCTAGACTACATGGACAGTGCCCAATCGTGTTGCTTGTGCTTAAGTATACGAACAAAGAATAAACAATAATTTTGGCATAAACTTAAATGTACTATAAACATTCATTGGTTCAATTGCTAACAACGAAATACGTAAAATGCGTTTTTTGTTTTTTTTCCTTTTCAATGATTTGTACAAAATGCAATTTTCGCTTTTCTCTTTTTCTTTTTTTCTAGCCTCAACTACTCGAGGAAGAAGCAACATGTTTTATTTCGTTTCGGGTGATAGATCATCTAGATTTTCTGACTTGGAAGTAGTGACGAGGGGTGGGCGCCACCTTATAAGTAAATGCCATCATTGGAGTTTCTCATTAGCAACAATTTGAAATACGTAAATGTTCGATTTCTTGATACGGATACGGATACGGATTGATTGAGTCAAATAATACTTGGCTTAGTCGATAGTCGTGTGTGTACGTGGAAAGTATCAGAAGAAACTATTCAGCAGAGGAGGGAGTTTAAGATCAAAAAGTTCTACTTCTAGTTGTAGATTGGATTGGATTGGATTCGATTGTTTATACATAAAACCTAAGCACCGATTAAAGTAGCGTTAAATTGAAGCTGTATTCGATTTGAAAATTCAATATAGAGTTGCCTTTCGTGTTCTGTTCGTTCTCGATTTCTTGGTATCATTTTTTTTTGCGGCCCGTTTCCGTTTCTCGGTAAGCTTATAAAACTAGTTAAATACTTTCTATTTCCATAGTACATACAGTTAGGTATATAAATTATAAAATAGTTTTGCGTGTAAAATATAAAATTTTGTTTTTTCCGATTTAGTTTTTTTTTTCGTTTGTTTTGTTGATTTTTTTTGTTGTTGTTTGTTGCTTGTAGTTGGTTTCTAAATTGTTTAGATACGCTTAAACACATACATATACCATACATATAGAGTTTATGTGAGTGTGTGTGTTGGTTGGTTGTATGGTATGCAACTATGCCATTAAAAAGACTTAAGAATTATAGTAAATATGCATATAAATGTATAATATATATGTATAACTTTATATACTATATACTATATATATATATATCGTACGTGTGTTTGTATGCCAGTGAGAGAGTGTAGGTGATGTGTGTGATGGGGCTGGACTGTTTTTAGTCTTGCACCTCTCGATACGGCACCTCGGACGTGACCGAGAAGGACTCGAAGTAGTGGTTCAAGAACTCGAACGTCGGCCGCTTCTCGGGCACCGCATCCCAGCACTGGAGCAGCAGCTGATAGATGTTGTCCGGGAAGTAGTGATTCGTTGGCTTGGGCATACGGAAGCCGCGCTCAATGTTCTCGATCACCTCGCGACTATGCATGCCCGGATAGGGCACTTGTCCGTATGTGAACAACTCCATCAGCAGGATGCCATACGACCAGACGTCCGACTTGATCGAGAACTTGCCGTAGATGATCGCCTCGGGCGCCGTCCACTTGACCGGAAACCGGGATCCCTGCTTGGGGCAGTACTCATCGTCGGCGATCACACGCGCCAATCCAAAATCACATATCTTCGCCACATTATTCTCCCCGATCAGCACATTGCGGGCCGCCAGATCGCGATGGATGAGCTGCTTGGACTCCAGATACTCCATGCCGCTGGCCACCTGCGTGGCTATGTAAATGAGATCCTCAAAGTGTAAGTAGCGGCCATCGCCCTCGCGCAAAAAGTCCAACAGACTGCCCTTCGACATGTACTCCTGCACAATGTAGATGGGTTCCTCCTGCAAATTGATACAATTCATTAATAAAAATTTGTTTTAGATATGTATTAAGCCCAGTTACCTGCGAGCAGACCGCATAGAGGGCCACCAGGCGATTGTGACGGAACTTCTTCATGATGGCCGCCTCCTGGAGGAATGCGGCCGTGGACATGGTGCCCTCGCGAAGTGTCTTCACCGCCACATCGATGCTGTTGCGCCACTTGCCGTAGAAGACCTCGCCAAAGTTGCCGCGTCCCAGTTTGCGCAGCAGCTGAATCTCGGAGCGCGGAATCTCGTACTTATCGCGCAGCTCCGGTCCCAAGTCCCACATCTGCGGTTGCGGTTTGGGGCAGGGACGCGACAGTATGTGACACAGGCCAAGAGCGTTTTCTTCATAGATAAGCAAATAATAAAATAGGTTTTACAATCTCTATACTCTATACTCTATACTCTATACTCACTGCTATATGCCATGACGAGGGCCTGAAGCGAGGGGAAAGTCTGATTGGTGGCTATGTAGTAGCCACCATTGTCCAGCGGCTTGATGCGGTAGTGCTTCACATGGTATCCACGTCCGTCCTCCCAATCCTTCACGGACAGCGAATACCCATTGGGATTGTGCTCCGAGGGGCGGACGAGGAAAGTGCCACGCGGATTTTCCTCGGCCAACAGCAGCTTATCTGCCTCCTTTCGCAGCACGTTCTCAAAGAACCAGCTGAAGGTAAAAGGAATTGTTTTAATATTTAATTTATATGCAAGGTGCATAGCAATTTTTACGAAAGCTTGCAGGAAGTTACCGGTTTTATAAATATACTTTAATATTCAAGGCTTTTAATCTTTAAAGCAGAAATAAAAACCAACTTCTCGTCTTCATTATCGTTTTAAAAATAAACAATCAAGTGTTAAGTTTTTAAAATCGTCTTAATATTAGTATTAATTAATCTGTGAAATTATAGAAATTTGGAAAATATAACCCTCTTTGGGAAGATAAATAAGTAAATGTATAAGATATATTTATTTTGATTTTTTGATATTTTTTGTGTTAGATAAAGGATGTGGCTTTAATTAAATTTTAAGGACAGACATGTAATCTTGGCCAGTTCAAGGGTTCAAACTGGTAAAAAGCTTTTACGCCACTAAAAATATCCAGACACAGATACTTTACAAAATCCATGCCAAGTCTTAAATCATTTAAATTTCGAGGAAAACTGGCACCATACACAGATACATTACAAAATGCTCGCACAAGCGCTCTTGTAAAATTACCTTAAATCATTTGAAATTTTAAGGAATACAGGCACTTACTCTTCGCTGTTGACGCTCCGCTCCTCGGCCACAAAGTTGAGCGGGATGAGGCCCTCCTGGCGGGTGGTCAGATTCACGACGCGCCACCAATCGGACTCGGTGTCGTCGATGACCTCCATGCGGTCGCCCTTCATGAAGCTCAGATCGGATTCATCGCGGGATTTATAGTCGTACAGGGCCACGACCACGCGCTTGAGCACAACGCCAGGCACACCGGCTGGGAAAAAAAAAAATAAATAAACGATTTGAGGATGGTGTAGAAGAGGTCGAGTTAGTGACAATTTTCGTCTGGCTGGGCAAATTTGATTTGCGTCCTTAAATTGCAATTTATGGCGACAAATTGGGAAATAATATTTTTTTTTTTTTGTTCGTTATTATTTGCTT